TTGTTAACATATGCAAGCTTTGCTTGAAATCGAAAACAATTCCATCTGTCAAAGCAAATTCTGAATTCAAAAAACGCGCGTGTAAAATTTTTACTAGTATTCGTATATTTATTTTTCCATATTTGCGGAACGAATTATCGCAATTGTGTAAAATGAGTGATCAAGACGAAGAACGTCCTTAAAACATATTTTTTCCTTGCATGTGATATTTTTTATCTTTATTTCACATGTGTTTATCTGCCTTTGATGCGCGTTTTATTTGAAATGTTATTGTTTTTTGCCAGGCTTATTAAATATATAATAATAGTATTAAATGTAAAATATAACAAAAAGATTATCTGGTGTCGCTTTTCAACTTTAATACACGTATAATTATCGCAAAATACGTCGAGCCTTACGTAATAATACTTCGACGTTACCGTTTCAAAGATTTCTTATCGTGTGGAAAAATGTGACCGTGGAAATGCACGCGATCGATTTCATACAATATGTCATCGAAAAACGAACTAACTCTCAAAGGGGCATGCTACTTTTTTAATTCTTCTTTTAAAAAATGCATTAAACGTAAACGTTACAAGGCTATCCAATTAAGTACATATGTTACTTGTTGGCCATATTCGTCATCAATGATATTCCATGCGGTGAAATAATTTCGCTTATATTTGCATAAGTTAAACATAGGTGTGTAATATATTTTATATAGGTACATATACACATTCATAAACTATTTACTTATTTGTGTTATCGTTGAGTACTCTTTATTATTGCGTCATTATAAATCATCGGCGTTTTTTGTTACGTCAAATATAATTCTGCATAAATTTAATAACACGCAACATATTTTCATTAAATGACGATTAATTCAAATAATTATTTTCTCACAATTCTTTATGAGATTATCTTCAATAGAGTCTTGGAAAAGTAATTTAAAAAATTTTTTTTTTTTCTATTCTTTCACCGACAACGTAATAATATTATATTCACATTGTGTTAAAATCATATATTTGATAAATGTTATAAAAATTTGATCTCTCAAAGAATATATAAAATATCGCAATAAAAAAAGGAGTTAATATTCCTATCGCTTTTGGCATCTAGAATGCGGATATAATTCGGATTTCTATAGCATACTTTTGGATTTTTATTCGCGTCTGCGTGACTCAATAGTTTCGCTTCGAGAGTTGCCAATTCCGGTCAATTCAAAGAAACGAATAAATCGGGTCACCGCGGCTCAATCAGTTTCACCTTGTTGAGGCGGAATGTTTCTAGAAATGGAACTACGACACATGCATGAGGTACACGACGAAACAATCGTGGGTTGAATGAACCGTGACGTATATGTACGGGCCATGTAAGACCGGCGAGTACGATTCCTTTCAGGGTCGTCGGATATATTCTAGATACGTCTATCACATGTACTATATACATATATACGCGATGTGTTTATACGATCTGTGTCATCGCGAAGGAATGTCGTCGTTGCATATTTAATTAGAGACGATCTTCGATTTTATTGTAATAGATTTATATAAATAGATACCGAAAGGAAAATGAGAAGCAGGAAGAAGATAAACCTACATTAAAATAGATGGGTGATTAATCAGGAAATGAAACAATTTTGCAACGACTGTTTCTTGAAATTAATTCAACTTTAATTTTTTTTACGCGTGTCTCTACCTTCTTCTTTTTTTTAATGCTACGAAATTACGCATGGAAGATTAATAATGTCACCGACTTGTTTCAGGCGCCGGCACAATCAATGCCGACTGCCAGGGGGAACCCCCGGGTTCCCAGTCCTGGCCCGTTGCGACCCTTTACACCGCCGGACCTCTCGTCCATACCTCATATGGATGGCACGCCTTTACACAATACCACCGACAACAACAACGGCAACGAGGACGATGTTCGGAATGCGTCGCCCGCGAGCAATCGTGCGAACGACGACGCGCAACAAGATCCCAGCGGGCCCTTCATCGTCGGCAGCCCCATCGATCTCGGGGACATCGACAATGTCGACAACATCGGCCTTCGTCTGGATCCGGTTACGCGTAGTAGCAGCAGACGAAGAACGCGGGAGCACATCGAGCTCCAGGAGACCGGCTCGCCGGAGTCCGAGGGTGAGTCCGAAATTAATATGTAATTTCGAAGTAGAGGGTAGTACTTATAATTAGCTTTTGCTTTAGGTAATTGTTTTAATTAAAGCGGACAAATAACATCCAAATTGTTCGATGTATTTTGAATCAAAAGCTAATATTGCACGCAGCGAGAATTTTCTCTTAGAATTTATTCTGAAAATCATAATAATCGTGGGACAATATGTTATTGGAATTTTATAAGAGTTTCTCTGGAGCAAATAACATCCAAAAATTCGATATCAATGAATTTTGCTAATCAGCGAGAATTTTCTCTTAGAATTTATTCTGAAAATCATAATAATCGTGGGACAATATGTTATTGGAATTTTATAAGAGTTTCTCTGATTAAATATTTGCTATCACTAAGCTAATAAGATATAAAATGTTCATGATTTTCAGGGTAAACTCTAAGAGAAAATTCTCTCCGTGTGGAATACCTCGATATTTTCGTTTAAAAAAATGAATTTTGCAAAAAAGTATAAGATTAAATAACTTTGAACCACTCTTAAAGGTTTCTCCTTAAAATTTGATTAATTGTACATGCTAATTTGCATGTGCATTGCTAATTTGTTATATAAAAATGTGATTTTTCTCAATAAAATACTCTATCTCGTAAAGTGTTTGCCGAACGACGCCGTTTAAGTAGTCGGTGGTGGAGAAAACCACCCCGTTGTGTCGCGTCGCCGGCGTGTCCTTGGCCTATCGATAACTTATATAGTCATCACACCCTCACACGCTCTTCGGCTCTGGAGGAGCGCAACCCCGGTTACGTTCGGGGAGCACGGTTGGTGCTGACACCAACTTGTTGCCGTCGATGAGCGCATGCGTTTTGCGATACAACACGTGAACATTTCACTGACGCATTTTGTCCGGTCACCCCTCGGGCAGTGCCGCATCGGCTGCAGGCCCTGAGGAGCAAAGAATAAAATGACGAAGAAGCTGAAACCGCATAAAAAGAAATCAATCACGAGACGGAGGAATCTCGACACGACATATTTTTTCTAAAATTTTTCAAGATTTTTTCTTTAAAATTATCCTGGCTTATAAACATCACGATTAAGAGTTAGGTGGCTATATATTTTATTTCTACTAACTTTGATTACCTCCGCAGATTCGCCCCTGTCCGCGATTCGGGTCGTGCGTGTACGGGGTGCGCTAAGCAAGGGATTGCGTTGCGGGATGCGAAAAAACGGTCGATCCTGTGCCAGCCAAGGGGCGCATTGTCATGGGAGAAAAGGGAAAAAGAGAGGATATCCCGGGGATGCCGCATAGGACACGCCGCATTTAATCGACGCGTGCGGATTTCCCGGTAACGCGATCGATGCCGCGACGCTTGTGCGCGTTAACGATACACGTGCATGTAGCCCCGACGTGTCATCGTCGTCGGCAGGGGTGTGGCAAGAGAGAGGAGGTTCCTTCTGATGTGCGATGACGTAGTAGAACGCTACTCGGACGGATCGTTATCCCGAGAGAGTCTCGGAAGAGAGTCTCGGCTGTACCGCGTGCCGCATCGTGTCGTATTAATATCGTAGATAATTACGGGCGGAAGTAACGTAAGTGCGTGTATATATATGAGCAAACGTTTCCGATTTCGGTGGGGAAAGGTAGGAGAGATCGATTGCCGGGCGGCCGGATGTGCTACAGACCTGGCCTTCTCTCTCCTTGAAAGAGGGCTCGTTCGATCGATCGTGGGAGACGAGACGTGCCGATGTTTGTCTAGGATTTTAGTTTCGCCTGCGCGATCTTCCTCGAGATCAAAGTGCTTTTTTTAGGATATTTTTAGGAAGTGAAAGAGGAGATCTAGGAGATTACATAGTGCGTTTTAGAGATGCTATTGTCGGGAGTAGGAAATAAATATTTGCGTCTGAAACTTGTTCGAACGAACGACTGATTCCGTCCCCGGATTTTAATTAAATTATTGCCAAGTTGATTTGTGAATATCGGTATATATAATATCGTGCGGATTGTGCGTGAAAAAAGTATATATAGTAATTTTTTAGAAAGGAATTTTTTGTCGTATCATTAAAAACTAAATACGAGAGATACTCGTTTTATATAAATAATTCGGATTTCGCTGCGTCTATTTCTCAGTTTTACGGGGGTTCGTATATATATATTTATAGCACTGCCATAATATTCGGAAACTCGATCTTCGAAGAGCCAAAAAGAAAGCTTAGCGTAAACAAAATTACAAATTTTTTAAAAGATACATAACGTTTTGAAAAAAATGTTTAAATTATCTGTTTTAATATCTCTTCTCTTTTCTCAATAGAGGATTGAAAATGCGTGTCACGCAATTCTATGTTCCTTTCGTAAACGCAAATATAAATGCAAATATTCTAATTTCTTTTCCATTTCTATTGTTTGCTAATACATAAATAAAACCGCGTCGACGTTAATATATTTTACGTTTGAATAATACATGGACAGACAGATAATTCTATAACTTGTGCTTTCGAGTGCGTAGAAAAACAAAATGTGCAAACGGCGGAAATGCTAATCGCGACGTTTTAACGAGGCGATCATCGGATAAACGAGCGCAAACGCTTCGCGTGCGAGCCTGTCGTAGGGAGATGAGACATACTATAACGTCTGAATTATGTGACACCCCACTATCGCGTAACCGTACATTACGCAATTGTGTTATCTTCCGAATAAAAACATATGGCGTAGTGCGCCGTTACGTCGTCGCCGTTGGAAAATCAATAATATATTACCGGCATATTTAAACATCTCGCATCGCGTTCCATCATTCGCGATTATTCTCAAAATTTGTATTTGTCTTCCATCGTTATTACTTGTCGATTAATTTTAATTAATTGCACTAGACATCATCCGTCGTAAGTAATTTAACAGATGTTCCTAAATGTCGTGCCGCATTATACATAGTGTTTCATATTTGCATATTATCTAATCAGTCAAATTAATTTCTCCTTTAATCTAAGTCTAAAGATAAATATTTCTTGACACGGAATCTTGTATCCAAGTATCTATATTTTTCGAATATATATGTATAATTGAAACGCTCGTAGATATATAAGCAGATCGAGCTTCCTAAAATAGTAACGCTGGGAACACCCTATATAAATGCATTACTGCACAGCGCTGCAAGCTGCAACCGCTATAAGCACGTGATATTAACGTCGTCGACGATGCGTCACGCGTACGGTTGAACATAATTTTTTTTTACGAAAATCATTATGCAGGCGCGCTGCGCATTCGTCGTTCGTTTCGCGAGTGTATGACAGTAATCAGCTGATCCGCGGAGACCGCCTCCGCCTTTCGTTCGCAAGCGTCGTCAGTTTCAGCTCAAGCGGCATAACCTCAAAAGTGCGACAGAGAATGTGGCGGGTGTCGAGTCGAATTTCGTACGTGAAATGCACGCGGTGACGAATAACGACGCACTTTTTATACGCCTCGCGACTGCCTTCGACGTCGTCGTCGCGGCGCGGAATGACGCGCGTCGCGATCGATGCCATTATTAAGGAGAATTATTTATTATCGAGGCTTGTGTATGTGCTACATAACTACATAGTTGCGATCTAACCTACTACCGAGGCTAAAGATGCCAATTCATATCGATGCTTGACGCTTATTTTCAGTATTAGGAAATCACATCGCGTGACTAAAAATAAAGCTGTCAAAAATTCATTTTTGGTCATGTGACGTCTTTTACTAAAAATGAGCGTCAGTGTGAAAGGTCGCGTTGACAGGAACGGATTTCCTGTTTGATGTGCCGCCACGAATGCTCCGATCCGCGTACACGTGTATGAGATTCTCTTGTATTCACAGGAATTAAATATGAATCAGAACGGACGTAGCGCGCGTCTCGCTGGTATGTGAGTTGTATAAAATACGTGTATGTGTGAAATATTTGACGTTTACGACGAACAATCATGGAAGTTGCAACCGCGAAGCTGGTGCAGTGGTTCAATGAGCTCAGATCCCGCGTGCATCTTTATCTGCATGCCCAGACCCGTAAGTTGCAAGCGAAAATTGTTCGAGTAAAAAATATTCAAGATTTAGCATTGCTTATAATTGTGAAAATAATTGGTATATATCGAAAATATATATGTGTGTATTGTATTGTCATATATTATATATGTTTTGGAATTTTCCATATAAAACTTGATAACTTGGCGTTATCAGACAAAGCAACAGATTATGTTTCAATGAGGTATCGCATAACTTTGATTAAGTTATTGACATTCTTATTTAACTTTGAGTACTATCAGACTAGCAATTATTATTTCATAATACACAGTTAATATAACATAACTGATTAAGATTTTTTTATAAAAACATTTCTCGTATTAATTCTGAGAACTATATCTGGTTATAAATATATACGTATAATAAATGTGTATAGCATCTGCATTCATATATATAGGCATTATGTGTGTGTATGTGTATCGACTTTAATTTCAATCGATCAATTTTAAAATAACTTTTTATACGAAATCTATAACTATGTAATTTATGTGTAACAACATTGAATTATTTAATAGTTTCTTAACTATAAGAGCATTATCTATTTTTTGTTGTAACAGTGTTATCTCTTCCACTTTTTATGATATAGCAGCTACAATTTTTCACATTTGTGTAAACTAACAAAATTGCGACATTATTGCATAAATAATAGAAAAATATACACCACATTTTTAGAGATCCATATAATTATTCTATTAATTTACAAAATACGTAAGAGTTATTATATTTTAATTTTTATATTTCTATTTAATTCTTGGTTTTTTGAAAAACAAAAGCAGAGAAAAAAATTATAACAACGTTTCATCTAAGATCAATATTGTTTTACACGCGCGATAGGTGATAAATGCAGATTGTTAGAAAAAATAAATAGCGCTCGATACATATCATCGAGAATATCTATTGTATGTCCCGATATTATTTATTTCCTAAGCTTAACGTGTCACGTATGATACTTTTATAGCGATCATTTCCTGCATTTTATTCACGTCGCGGTACAACTGTCAGTTCACTGCTTGTGGGTGGAATATTATACAAGAGGCTATAAGAGAGAAATATTCATGCATACGCGATACAATATCATTTTCTTAGGCATACTAGGCAATACATTCTTGTGATCTTTGATAAAGTGGCGTGACTTTTTTTTGCATCGACCTTTATGAGTGTATTTCTGTAACAAAAATACTTAGTGAACTTTTCTCCAAAACTTTTGTGGATAAACTTTTATTAGAAAAAATATCAAATATGTAAAATCATTGACTATTATTTAAATTAAAATAAGTATCTATGTCAAACTTTTAATTATATATAGAGAAAAGTTTCTCTTACAATTAGAATATATCCTGAAATTCATGGTAATCGTGGGACGATATGGTATTGGAAGAATTTTGTAAGTTTCTGATTATAACATTTATCACAATAAAAATATTAATATCTTACAATAAGATATAAAATATGTTTGATTAATTTAATTAAAATGTATAGTAAAATTAACAACTTATGATTCTTTAAGAGTTTTAAATAGAATATAGATACTAAAAAAGTGATAAATGTATAAAATATTTTACATAAATTTTAATACAGCATAATATTTTCAATCCAGTTTGATCATTCATGATAGTTTTAACATATGCAGTAGGGTAATTTTCGATTTATTATCAAACATGATAAAATTTGTAGTGAATGATTTGCGGTGAAATATAATGAAAAATTCTCTCTTTGTGTATAATTTTAATTTTAATGAAGAAGTATATTAAAAATAAATAATTACTCACCATAAAGAATATATATAGATTTTATCTGTACTCATTACGTCGAAATATACGTATTAAAAATAAACAGGGTTTACTGTTGTGTGTGTTACAGTTGGTCCGGCAAGGGCAGAAAGTGGCTCGCAGGGTGACGACCAACCACCTACGCAACACAATGCTGGTGAAGAAAGGGTCATTTTTGTCAACGCACCTCATCAGCCCGCAAAATACAAAAACAATCACATTACAACTGCGAAATATTCATTTGTGTCGTTTGTACCTTTGTTCCTATTTGAGCAATTCCGTCGTTACAGCAACTGTTTCTTCCTGTTCATCGCACTTATGCAGGTAGTTATACTGTCAAGCAACGAGACAAATGTTATAAATGTAATGAGCGCAGTGAATAAAAATTGTAGAAATATTTAGCACCATTTTTTTCATAGATATGCTCACAATTAGATTTAAGATACAAAATTATACTTTCGTATATCGTACTCTCATTAAATCTTGTACTTGAAGCTACGCTCGAATTTTGCAGCATTAATAATGTTTAATATGTTTTTCGATTTAAATTTAGCAAATACCAGACGTGTCTCCGACAGGACGCTGGACAACATTGGTTCCACTGATTTTCATCCTCAGCGTATCTGCTTTGAAGGAGATAGTTGAAGATGTTGTACGTACTTATAATATTGTTTAATTAATTATCATGTTTCTTTTATATCGATCTTCTAATGAGAAAAATTTGGTAATTTTTAGAAAAGGCACAGAGCGGACGATGAAATAAATATGAGAGAAGTGGAGGTACTGAGAGATAGACGTTGGCAGTGGATTCAGTGGCGCGCAGTGGCTGTCGGCGATGTGGTTAAGGTTGCTTTCCATTTTTATCGGAATTTATTTATTTGGTAATAATCAATCGACGTCTCTCGAATCGCTACAATCGCTTTCTTTAATTTGTGCAGGTCCATAACAACACTTTCTTTCCCGCTGACTTGGTCTTGTTGTCGTCATCGGAGCCGCAGAGTATGTCCTTTATAGAGACTGCCAATCTGGACGGCGAAACGAATTTGAAGATCCGACAGGCCCATCCCGACACTGCCAGTCTTTTGGATACCGCGGAATTAATGAATTTTCGCTCCAACATCCAGTGCGAACCGCCCAATAGGCATCTATACGAGTTCCACGGAGTCTTACGAGAGACCAATAAGCAGTAAGAACACATACATGTGTTAAACGGTCTCCTTGCACCAAATTCGTTTTGTTATTTGTTTCCGATATAAACAAAAGTTATAGTCGTATGTAAGTTGCTTTATTCCTATAATATGTATATCGTACACAGTTTGTTGTTCGTCTTTCAACTTGTCTTTTGAAGTGTCGGTATCTCGTTGTGCGTTTATGCGTCGTTACGTCACAAGCGGTTGTTCTTCCACAGGAGCGTAGCTTTAGGGCCTGATCAATTGTTACTCCGTGGCGCGATGTTGCGGAACACACAATGGGTATTCGGCGTAGTCATATACACGGGGCATGATACGAAACTCATGCAGAATAATACCGCGACAGCGCCGTTGAAACGATCCACCCTCGATCGGTTGATCAACACGCAGATACTGATGCTATTTTTCATACTTCTTCTGTTGTGCATTCTTTCCGCGATATTCAATGTCATATGGACGAACGCCAATAAAGACGATCTCTGGTATTTGGGTTTACAAGGTAAATAAATAACATAAGTGCATGCTCTGTGCCGCGCATAATTTTTCACAGAGATACTTGAATTCTATCTTCTCGTTGCAGAGGAAATGACTAAGAATTTTGCATTCAATCTTTTGACATTCATTATTCTCTTCAACAATTTAATACCGATATCGCTGCAAGTGACACTTGAAGTCGTAAGATTCGTGCAGGCCACATTTATTAACATGGATATAGAGATGTATCATGCAGATACGGATACGCCAGCAATGGCTCGTACGAGTAATTTAAACGAGGAACTTGGAATGGTGAATTATATATTCACAGATAAAACAGGTACTCTTACGAAGAACGTTATGGAATTCAAACGATGTTCGGTCGGTGGAAAACTGTATGAGTAAGTTCATCTCCCAACTGCATAGTTCTTTGCTGTAATAATTGTTAATTTAAATATGTTTTCCTTGACTATGAATATTTTATAGGTTGCCAAATCCTTTAAATGGCAATGGCATGAATGGCAATGAAACGAATGACAATGGAACAAATGACAATGGAAGCACGAGCGATAGCACTTGCGAATTAATTAAAGATATCGTTGATGGAAGATCCGTACGAGACTCTTCGAATCCTATTGATAAGAAGAAAGCGGAACACGCGGCTGTGCTCCATGAATTTATGGTCATGTTGTCGGTTTGTCATACGGTTATTCCTGAGAAAATAGATAATTCTATAATTTATCACGCTGCATCTCCAGGTAAATGTCATATCTAAATATTTGTTTTCGCTTGATAGTAGAGTGTATGTATGTATATGTGTGTATATGTACATTTAATTTACGTTACATTCTCCCTCCTTTAGATGAAAGAGCGTTAGTAGACGGAGCACGTAATTTTAATTACGTGTTCGATACACGAACGCCTAATTTCGTGGAAGTTGTAGCTCTAGGTGAAACACTACGATACGAAATACTGAATGTAATCGAATTCACTTCGGCCAGAAAGCGAATGTCGGTGGTTGTGAAAACGCCCGAGGGAAAAATTAAAATCTTTTGTAAAGGAGCTGACTCTGTGATCTATGAGAGATTAAAAAATACTGAAATTAGCGATCTTGACCAAGAACATGTAGATGACTTTCGTGATATAACTTTAGACCAGTTGAAGATGTTTGCTAGCGAAGGATTGCGGACGCTTTGTTTTGCCTCCGCGGAAATACCTGAAAACGTTTATCAGGTTAGAGATTAGCTCTCTTTTATTTTAGAGAAAATATCAATACATATATTGTTCAATAATAAATTTTAATAATTTTTCTTGACAGTGGTGGCGCGAATCGTATCATAAAGCGGCGATTAGTATAATCAATCGCGAAAGCATGCTGGAAGAGGCTGCAAATCTCATTGAGACTAAACTCATATTATTAGGAGCAACTGCGATCGAGGATCAACTGCAAGATCAAGTACCAAAAAATATATTTAATCTTTTTTTTTCTCTTTCTCTTTCTTTTATTAATTTGTTAAAAAGATAAATGTTTTTTTTCAAATTTTTATTATATTTTTGTGATACATAATATTACAATTTGCATAATTTTATAGGTCCCGGAAACGATACAAGCTCTTTTACAAGCTGATATCAATGTCTGGGTGTTGACAGGAGATAAACAGGAGACCGCCATAAACATCGGTTACTCGTGCAAGCTAATAACAAATGAAATGCCTCTTTATGTTATCAATGAATCTTCTTTGGACGTAAGTAAACAGCTCGTCAAAGTTTTGAGTCTCACAAACTGAGTTGATACAATGTAAATTTACGTATTTTATAGAAAACGAGAGAAGTTATCATTCAACGCTGCCTTGAGTTTGGGATTGACTTAAAATGCCAAAATGATGTGGCTTTAATTATAGATGGTAGTACGTTAGACTACGCTCTATCTTGTGACATTAGGATGGACTTCTTGGAATTGTGTTCAGCTTGCAAAGTAGTTATCTGTTGCAGAGTGTCACCGATTCAAAAAGCTGAAGTAAGCCTACTAATTTGTATTTCAAGATTTGTACAACAAAGTTTAGTCAATCGGCTATATTTTGATTTCCTTTATATTTAGGTGGTTGATTTAATCACGAGTAACAAGAAGGCTGTGACTCTTGCAATCGGAGATGGTGCGAACGATGTGGCTATGATACAGAAAGCTCACATTGGCGTCGGTAAGTTTTAAATATATAATATTTAAGCGTATATTACAATTTTTGTCGAAAATTCTTGGTTATTAAAATATGGCCATATTCTATATTTTCTTGTAGGTATCTCGGGTGTCGAAGGTCTCCAAGCAGCTTGTGCCTCTGATTATTCCATTGCACAATTTCGTTTTTTGAAACGTCTATTATTCGTTCATGGTTCTTGGAATTATAGTAGAATGTGTAAATTAATCTTGTATTCGTTTTACAAGAATATTTGTTTATATGTTATCGAATTATGGTTTGCTATTTATTCCGGTTGGTCCGGACAGATCCTGTTTGAAAGATGGTCCATTGGACTTTACAACGTTGTAAGTTTTATACTATAAATCGTACGATATAATTATTTTGCTAAAGAATAAAATTAATTTTCCATAATTTGATGCTTCTTTGTAGCTTTTCACCGCTGCGCCTCCATTAGCTATGGGTCTCTTCGATAAAGTGTGTTCCGCAGAAACTCGTTTAGCACATCCAGGACTATACGCGACAAAAAATAACGGCGACTCGTTCTTCAATATTAAAGTAAATACAAATTCTATACAAATTGTGATACTTAGAATCGAGATTTTCAAAGGAAGAGGGAAAAATAAAATATTTTTACTATATACAGATATTTTGGATATGGATTATAAATGCGCTATTTCATTCGGCATTGCTTTATTGGTTGCCGCTTATGGCTCTCGAACAAGATGTGGCTTGGGGAAATGGCAGAGACGGCGGTTATCTTTTACTAGGAAACTTTGTCTATACCGTAAGTATCAACATTCTTTACATTATAAAATTCTACAAGAGAGATCTCGAGGCTCTTGTGAAAGAAAAATTACATATATGTTGTTGTATAGTATGTTGTAGTAACAGTATGCGCGAAGGCAGGTCTAATAATAAACTCGTGGACATGGGTAACTCATTTAGCAACCTGGGGATCTATTATACTCTGGTTCTTATTTATTTTTATATATAGGTAAGGAAAGAGAATATCTTCTTTTTTTCTTAAATATATTCTTATAAATTTGTTGAGAAGTATATTAATAGACCATATAATATATTTTTAATGTGTATTTATTGTTGCAGTAATTTTTGGCCCGTCTTAAACGTCGGCGCTGTGATGTTAGGCAATGACAAAATGTTATTTACTTCGCCTGTTTTCTGGCTGGGACTTATATTAATACCAACGGCAGTATTGCTGCTAGATGTTACAGTAAACGCGTAAGTATAACCGCTATTAAATGCATATACGATTTTGCATGTTTTGCATACTTATATGTAATTGTCATCAGATGTATTTTATTGTCATCAGAGTAATGAATACAGTTTGGAAATCGGTGACAGAAGCAGCTCGAGAAAATGAAATTAGGAAATCCGATCCTGGTGCTGTATTCAACAATCAGGATTACAGAAGCTCGTAAGTGCTTCCATTTTAATTTTTATTAAACTAACATATAGAAAATATAAAGTTGCATTTTAGATAATAGAAAAGATGCTTTTCTAACATTTAAAGAAAAAAATCAATATAAAATTAAAGTTGCATATAATCGATAATTCAGGCTACTTGCGAGACAAAGACTAACAATGTATCATTAATTTATTTAATTATCTTTAAAAGGTTTAGTATTTATCGCAAAGAAAGTTTAATACTCTTAGTAATGCATGAACAATTTTAGTAACTCTACATATATGTTCTATTGTGTTGATTGAGATTTAATATTACTATTACCTTACTATGCATGGCTTTCTAGGTCCTAGCTCCATTATTATATACTCTATATTTTATAAAATGAATTTTTATGGGTGGTCTGATTAACTTTGAACGAAATTTTGTTTTGATGCGTTTAGGTGCATGTATGTAACAACTACTAATTAAAAATTAATCTAATCATATCTGACATATGATCTAAACGTATATCTAAATTATTACAATTTTCCTCAAATAACAGCATTGTTCGCGTGTGCTTATTTACATATTAATCATTTATCGGGGTGCAAATTAAAAGACAAAACGTTTCATAACGCTTATTAATAACGTTGTTTCCTAATTGAATCGATAAATATGAATTATAAACAGGAGGTCGAGGCCAACGACGCGATGGTTAAATCGATATTGGACCTTGATCCGTTCACGAAGGCGCAATAGGCTGAGAGTGTTTTCGTTTGTAGCACGTGGCTCGTGGTTTACGCACCGTTCCCAGCATGCATCATCCTCAATACTCCATATTTCTGAATAATCCGTCCACTTCGTACATTCCTAAAGAGTCCAATCTAGTAAGCGTTTCAATTTTATGCGATTACTATTCTTCCCTATACACATTCCTCTCGAGTATAACATGATACATTAACGCGCGATAACTTGTGATATTCAACGATATCCTTGTGCATGTATCCTGTGAATTATTCGTCGAGCGCATTTCTGTACATTTATTATAAAATATTTATATTTTTGGTTTCAGAAAAGAGGATTTATTATTTATGTATTTATATTTAATTATATAATTTGTCACATTTTTTATATTTATTATGATATTCAAAAAGTGCAGATTAATGTAATTAATTTATAATTTTATAATTGCTTAATTCACAATATTCATTTTAAATATACTATATATAATGCTTGTTTATTGTATACAGTAGAACCTCTTGCGTAATTTCTTTTTCGTTTTTGGTCAATTGTTTACATTACTTTATAAATAAGAAATAATGCACTATAACATGATACACGACAGGTTCCACTGTATATGTCTGACATATTTTTTTATTATTATTTTTATTCTTATCATTAATTGTTATTAACAGGATATCGTGCCTCTGTTATTTCAAATTAAAAAATTGTTTTCTTTACATATATTTATTATTTAAGAACAATTAATTTCCACCGCCTTATTTGCATACAATACATATGTTAGTTTAATTTTAATTAGGTAGCAAATCAGTCCTCGTATTTTTTTTAAACTCTGTATACATACGTGCACAAAAATATTTCGATTGAGCTAAATTAATTTTGTTACATTCAGACCTCTCCATTCATGATAAAGACGCAAAGACTGAGAGAATCATGGAGCATTATAAGATAAACCCCGTAAATCATATTCCCCAAATAACAGCGCTTTTATAGAAATTAGTATATATCGCTGTGTATTAAACTAATGTCTTCACTGTACTGTAAAATTTGCCGATCGTTAATACGATCTCTTTTTGGTATGTTCTCTTCCGTGGTATCCCGTGCAGGCCTGTGCATGCCATCGCCGATCTCGCGAGGTGTAAGTACCCCTCCCAGTAGTATAGTAATAATACATCTCAGTGCATCTCCCACTTATATTTTTCTTCACACTCTCTATCGAGAACAAGCGAGAACACATCGCCGATTAACATGGAACGCATGATCGTTCGATGTTCCGCTAGGTAAAAGCCGAGCACAGCACAGCGATCTAAAATGCCAGTCACGCCAATTCCTCACCAAGTCCCAATGTAGCTCATCAAGACGATTCTCTAAAACGGAATAAGCGCGCAGTAAATATAACTTTTTTGCTCGCACACACATAGACACACACGTATTCGCCAAAATTGTATGACCAGCTTCTCAATAACGTATGCATGTTTTAATTCAATTTCATTAATCACTTCGAAAAGAATATCACGAGGATTAATGATCCTCGCGAGTAAACCTCACAGACACTTTTCACGTTCAATTTTTACTTTGTTCTCTTATTTATATTATAATTGCATGTCATTGCACCGCACTTACTGATCACATACATATGTAATCGACGTCTCGGTGTGAAAGAAATTATTACGCGAAATTCGCGTTGAAATTAAATGAAAATTAATTATCGGTCGAGAATTTCGAGGGCAAGATTATAGAAAGGTAAAGACATAGAGAAGGGGACAGAAATAAAAAAAGAGTTCTAGTTCGTCGTTTGTCCATATGTAATATGTGGACGGGAGAGGGTGGTTTTCTCCGGCCGAAGCCGAGAATCCATAAATCATTGCTGAATGCACGGCTTTGCAGATTGACGGAAACGGCGAGGCTGCTGAAAAACGTTAAAAGTGTTTTCACCAGGCGCTCGAACGCCGCCTCCAGAGTCAATGTCGAGGTGGAGCTATCACGTAAGTTGTCTTTTTCGCAGACACTTCACATACCCCGGGGAAATATCTAATTACGGTTCTAATTCTCTTAATATCTTTCGATCGTATATACTCTTCCCTATAAACTCTAATAACTTCTCATCCGCGATCTTCTTTCTTACTAGGTGAAATTTTATCACGATTTTCTATTCGTATTTTCTGTATTTCTTGTACTTTATTCCACACTTGAGCACGCGCTTGATTTCTCACGGCTTTCCGTTTCTCGTCCGTCCGTAAGCTTTATTTGATTGACGAGTGCCGTCCTAAAATATCGAACATACTTTTCGAGAGAGAAAACGCGACAAACTCTGATAATTAAATGCACATTTTTCGCACCTGCACCGTGGTACCTTATAGTTGAAAATTATTTTTTCTTTTTTTTTTTTTTTGGCAATCGCGAGAGATGCATATATGATGCCAAACGTTCTGGAAGTCGCGCACTTCTCTTCTTATTCTATTCTTGAATTTAGATTGTTCAGTATTTATAAATATATATATATATATATATATATAAAGAAAATGCGGTACTTCTGGAACACTTTTACATGCATATATATAATATTGCTACAATTTTCATTAGTAGAATGATTGAAATTAGAGAATATATTTCGTTTTTGCTATATAAATAGCGCTTTATTGAAAAATTGATAAATATATTAAAGCAGTTTCGAATTTTTTCAATTTTCAACTGTTTGACGCGTCTAGTGATGGACCAATAGATTTAAATATTAAATAATTTTTAATTTAAACAGTTTTAAAATTTCGAATGTTCAAAGGACCCAGCTGATCTTTCCAAGATTCAATTTTATATAACTAATTTTTGAATTCTATATAAAATCCTAGATGAAATTGAATCCCAGTAAAATCAAATGATTTTCTCACATGTTGTAACTTATGACCTGCTGAACAAAAAATGTAATAAGCTCAAAGTTATTACATCTTTTGTTCAGCAAGTCATAAGTTACAACATATGAAAAAGAAACGGCCAAAATCCTAAGTATTTGCGGTGTTCTTTTTATACAAATTTTGGAAAATCTTCGAATTCTTTAAAGTTTGCTTAAATTACTGAAGGAAGAAAAGAGAGAATCGAATGGACATTTCTAGACGCGGCTTCACAATCTTCTGATATCTTGCATGCCCGATTTTAATGCACATTTTTACGGCAGAGATTAATGAATTGCGACCTTTGTTATTGCGCATGCTGCGCGATGCAGATGGTTTTGCGTTCTCCCAAGAGGAAGGCGGTTCGGTAACCCAGACGGACGTGATTAGAGCCTACGACACGAATCTTCCGAAACCCGGCGGCATGTGATTTAAACGGGACAGCCGCCGTGCGAGATGATGCCGGCTGCTCTTTCAAGCGGCCTGAGAGAGAGAGAGAGAGAGAGAGAGCGTTTCGCTTCTGCTCCTTTTTATTCGACTGACAGTTCCAGGAGATCGTCAGATGGATCGATATATCCGACACGAATCAATGATAGGCTTAAGGACGTCGTGAAAACTCGAAGGAAAGAATTGACCCTTAATCAAACGCGTTTCGTTAAATTAAAATCTAGTAGTCTTCTTGAATTTTAATACGGTCTTCTAAATTTTGATAGCAATGGACAAATTTTTCTGGTAAAATTTTATTGCTGCAAAAGAAAAAAAGAAAGATTATATACTTATAAATTTACACATTTATTAGATATATATATATATATAAAGAAGAGATGCGATTTAATTAAGGGTTGATGACATTAATGTTCAAAATGAAGGATTCCTCTCTGAATTACTGCGATCAATTTGTAGAAGAGAACTTCGATATATATTAGCATGAATAATTATTTTGATACTCCGTGAAATTTTATTCTAATATACCGTAGAGAGACCTCTTATCCTTAAAAAGTAGCGACGTACTCGCGCTGATTCGACGATGCGACTGCGTTTCGCCGCGATGCATTTGGGAATGCATTTCGTATTAGTGTCAAAGTCGTGCAAAGTCCTATTATGCACCGGTAAAACTCTGCTTTTACGTCTATTCTCGTGGAATGCGAGAGCAGGACACGCCGCTCTACTTCTTCTATCGAGAAGCAAAAATCGTGCGAAACATTGCGCAAGTGTAATTGTGATCTATGAATGTTGATATATACATATATATATATTTGTTCTATATATGTAAAGAAATTTTTTCGTCGAGAGATCATTATTCAGAAGCGCAACTCTCTTTGGAATTGCAAGTTATATTATCTACATCTAAAAAAGAAAAATTTATATATTTCCAAAATTGAAGAAAGATTTTGCGATTGCGATATAGTCGAAGGATTACGTTTGATTTCGTGCCAGAAAAAGACTGTTTGCCCTTGTTCTATGTGTATATATATTACGTTGCTCTTTATTTTTTTTAATCGATAACATACATATGTATATCATTATTGTATATACACGGAAAATTACGTTATTCTACGTTATCTAGTCAGGATTCGATACTGATACCTCTATCTTTCAGTTCAAAGATTCACTCTTCCGCCCATCATGGTACACTCTATTTTAAGTTTATGACTGAAGAATTTATAATAGAGAGATATATATACATATACATATAACATATGTAAAGTAACAATTGTATACACTATGTTCGGAATAAAACGATTTAAAGAGATCATCTTAATCCACTTTTTTTCCAAATAATAAAATATATGTATATAAAGCGAATAAAATATATAATTAATTATCAATTAATTAATATCAACAAGAAGCAATATCCAAAGACATATTTTTATTAAAATGTTATAGCAATAATAATCATACAAAGATTGTGTAGATACGATATTTCTTGAGATAAAAGTACTTCTGAATAAATCGTATGCAAATAAAATACTGTATGATTCAAAATTCATTAAAAAATATATATTTGTAACTAGATAAATAATCGACGCTATTAGCTAATGTATTTCTTATGCTTTGTCGCGCTCGAAATAAAAACAATCGTGGCTAACATATATGATAAAGTTACATACCAATTGCCATCAATAAAGTCTTGATCAAATCTTCCAACACATATCGTTCAAGTTGTCTTCGGTGGTTCCAACTTGAGGCTGATAAAAAAGTTTTCGCGATCCTCTCTGTAACGCGCTTTCAAAAGATATTCGCACGCGAATGAGTTCATTAGAAAACTGTAGCTCTGCGCAAATCTTTGACAGTCCGTCAACCAAATTGCCATGGTGAGAACGTGCTGCCTCTTCAAATCCACGTTCTTGGATCTTCTATCGTTCTCCGAGAGTATTTTCGATTCCAACGTGAAAGTACGCCAACGATAAAAAACTTGCGCGCCAGATATCGTTGTCTACATGTCCAGACATCGTTCGTCATCTCGTTGGTGGTATTCCGACGTTTCGTGAATTTTATCCTGGCAAGCGTTGCCACGAAAATACGTTTGGCTAAACACGAAAATCCATCTCGCTCGGATCGTATTATGTCCTGTCTATCTCCGGAGCGAATATTATTGAAATTATTGTTAATAGATTCTAAAGTCCCAGTTTGCACGGTTAATTGTTTTCTTGTAGAAGATGCAGAATTTGTTTGAATCTCCCTCCAGCCATTTAATTCCAGAACTTTGATCAGCAAATGACCGACATATGGCATGCAGGGTGGACTGCGTTTTGCTGCAGTCCAAGTTTTTTGATACTTTGAACAACGCGGACTTCTATAAATCTTGGACAGCTTCTCCATTGTCTCATATCTCAAATATGTGAAATTTTATTAGAGAAACGTTATTATTTCTTGTTTTCATAAAAAAAATTATTAACAGAAAATCGAAAAATATAATTAATATAATTCAAGAAGAATCTATTCACGAAAAAGGTCCACTCGAAAGTAATATCATGTAATTGTAAATTAATTATCGTGTCTAAAATTAATGAATGGCTACCTGTTGGCGTGATGAGTCCTCAAGTAAGACCAACTTCTACGAAGTCTGTAAATTGGCGGAGCCTGCAGACCGGCCAGGATAGATCGGCAGGACTGAAAATTGCCGAAGGTAAAACACTTGTCGGCTGCGTTGATGAATCTCGCCATGATCCTGGTTCTCATGTCCAGCTGCTTGATGGCGAGGATTTCGCTGACCGTCAAACAAGCAATTCGGTGACTGAAAGCGATCCAGGCGCCTATATTCGGCGCGTTGCGCGAGGATCTCTGATGGATCAGCACCTCGATCTCAGTTGCGGGAATGCGAATGAAGAGATCGCGATCGATCATCGTCAGTTGCGCGGCTAGAGTTGTGCTGTCCAAGTCCCACACAGTGATACGGAGATTCATCTTCAACAATTTCCGCAATTGCGCCGTGCCTTTGTCCGCATTTTCAACCTGCTTCTTATTCTGTTTACGCGTACCATTGATGAAAAGCACGCGTTCTAATAGACTGCTGGATTTTCCCATAATTGTAGTTTCGGAATTGCCGCTCTCGCCTGCCGATATCTGACTCTTCCGTCTGCAGAAGAGCTTCCTTTTCATTTGCTTCTCTTTTCCGCATCGAAAATCTCGAAGAGATGCCAAATGATGCCTTAGCTCTCTATATATTATGTCAGAAATTATTTAATAAATTCAAGTTTTTATTATTTAAATCATTCCAGATATACTATAGTATAAAAATTACATATTTACAAGATGCTTTTTTTTATTACTTGTAAGCAGTCGCAGCTGCCTGAGGTCTGTACCAATATTCCGGTGTCCAGAAGAGAATCACTCGTCCTCTAGTAACGGTACCAACGGTACTGGAACTTCCGGACGTTAAAGCGGTGCAAGAAACACTGGCTGTCAATTGACGACGTGAGACCGGAAGTCTGAGTTCCGGGTCCGATGGTTGTTTGCGGATGTTGACCGCACTCGGCGATCTGAGAGTTTGCACGGATTCGCGTTCACCAGGTTGAACCGACCACGGTCCCAGCGCGTGGAAGAAATGCGCTGCTGAAGAGAAGGCATATCTTCTGGGGTGTTTCTGACTCTTGAAGGATCTGTGATCCTCCCAGATTGTCACGCCACTTTCGATTAATTTGCGAGGGTCGACGAAACGATGCGGGATCTCAGAGACGTCGACGTAACCTGAATCACCGCGATAAGGACCCAGAATCAATTCGGAATTGCATTTCTCCGGTATACCGAAACCGAAACGTGATATTTTCGAGGCCAAAGACGATCCTTTTCTATGTTGTCGGTATTTTTCGTACTTTTTTTCTACGTGTTCTATGAACTCTTCCTCGGAGAGTATATTTTTACACTCTAAATATTTTATTTAATCATTGATATATTGTTTTTTTTTAAATATTTGCATTATTTGCTTATTTTATTAAATTGATTTTTTTTTAATATAAAAGCATGTTAGAGTTAACTTTTTTTATTTATGCTTTTTTGAAGTCTTTATGTTATTTTATTTTATGAAATTCTGAGATTTTTTTTCTAAAATATATTTAAATAGATAAAAAGATTTACGAATTTTATATAAATCCAACTGCTCTAACCATAACATCGGCTGTACTTTCCGGAAACATTAATGCCAACGCTGTCATCTAATTGGCAGATGTTGCAAGATGTACTTTTGCAACTTGGAGTGCAATCGTGATGATGAGCACTGCGATTTCTTGTAAAAATGACATTACATAGTCCTCCGGAACGTCGCGATTTTGCCTGACTATCAAACTTTATTTGACACGGCCAACTTTGACAAGATTTCTTGCAGGTAACGTAACACGGAGTATGATCTTCTAGCTCGTACATAAGATCTTGCAAGCTGGCTCCGGCGAATCTCACCGGAACAGGCGTGTAATGACCATTTAGTAATTCATTGAAAGATGGGCCAAGATACAAGTCCTTGTCTGTCCATGTGGGAGCAACGAAATCACCAGCGCCTCCATAACGAGTCCATATTCTGTTTTTTTTTTAATATTTTTTTATGTAAACTTATATACGATTAATCATATTGATAGGAAGTAATTTATAATTAATGTGATCATTAATTTGAATAAATAAATTTGAATTAAGTAAATTGAAAATTAATTTGAATTAAGTAAATATTTCTTTATAAATGTCGATAATGAGATAAAAAATATACTAATTGGCACCTGAATGCTGGTTTCTTCGCATCACGATTATTCTTAACTTCAATCTTGGATGATACTAAATATAATGTGCTACTACTCGACGAACTCGCTACTGTTGTTTCGGATAACGAACTACCATCCATCTTATCCACTAATAATTTTCGTATCTGCTCGCACCAGATCCTCCAAAACATTCTACGCCGCACGCCACCGAGCTCATAATAATTAGCTCGGCCATCAATGAATCTGAAGATAATGAAAATCTAAAGATAATTCATTTTCCTAAGAAAACGAGAAAGATTTTTGTTTGTCATTTTTAGATTATAATCTAATTTGTTGATTTGTTTTATAATTTAATATAATATAATGCTTCCTTTCTTTTATTCTTTTGCTTTTATAAAATAATTTAAAGTTTTTTTTATATATAATTGTAATTTTTATATTATATTTTAATGGTACTGTGATCATATATAAATATTATATATTTATATTAATATAATTTTATCAATATTATATCGTTTTATAAATATTTATAAACTTTTTATTCATAAATAAATTTTAAATAAAAAGTTAATTATATAAATATAATTAATCTAATTATTAGAATAAATTAATTTTTCAATTTATTTCTCAATGTTGATAAAAGGAGGGAAACGTGAGTTTTTTTTTATACGTCTATTCGATCTAACGAAAAGTAATACCTTGCCTTTAATGTCCTACGGTGTCTTCTCCTGAACACACTGAGTGTAACATACTCTAGAGGATATACGGACACGAGTTCAAAACTCTCGATACTGACGTCGATATTGGATGGGCAAATGAAACCGGGATTAGTCTGGAGAACATCGGCGGCGACGATCAGTTTGGTCGGCGTGAGGCCGAGGGCGACTTGCCGTAGCCCACGTCCATTTCTCGTGGTTTCCGCAAACGGCGACTCAACCAGGATCGTCTCGGAGAATTCGCAGTACTCTGATAACAACAGCTTACGTATTCTGTTATTTTGCGGACGTGCGTTACGACGTGGTAATCTCATTTCACGTGACGCGTTCATGGATGACTTCTCTCCCGCGGCGAGGAAAAAAATAATATCGCGTTGTACGGATCATCTATGACATTTCTCACGACCACATGATTTTTAAAGCGTTCAAAGATTGTCTACTTGTCAGAGCTTAACCGAGCTGGATTAACGTCTTCTCGACCGAAATGTCAAAAAAAGACTCGCATTATTCCTGGACAACTTCTCGCAAAATTTCGTTGTATAAAGGGTGACAGTTATGTTTATGACTATGAAAATTTTAAAGTCGCTGAATTAACGTAGTTATAGTTAAACGTTATACATATAGTTAAGTCGGTAAACAAGATTAAGTATATCGTCGTTTTTATTTAAAAATTCAACATCTCGTTGAATTTTCTGTTAATATTCGTACATAGAGTCGCGATCGTAATAGATTACATTCAAAGATAAGGGACTACGTGGTAAATACTGGTCGTAAAACCTCGTCGATTAATAAGAATTAGCTCCTTCATTCCATTTACTCGGTGTATAATACGATAATAAATAAGATATAAAAAACACGTACCTGTGTGTAAAAGAACCTCACTAATAGAGGGAGCGCCGTTTTACTTATAATAAATGGTTAGCGTCGAAACGTGCAAAAATGTACAAAATTTACGAAGATACATACAAAGATTGTTCCTACATTTTCTCGACTCAATTACACTTTTATCGACTACTGTTCTCCGGATTCACTCTGATGGTGACTTTGTTGCTGAGAGCAGACGCGAGCTTTTCGACATTGCTCTGGAGAAGCTTGTTCGGCTCAGAATTCGTTGTACCGTTACTGGACGTCGCCGCATTTTCGGAAATAGTCTTTACGGGCGACTGATTTTCCTGAAATAAATTTACATTCATTATCTCGTCTTTCTAATTATAAGAGAGTACGTGATCAAATATGCGATTAAATAACTGTATAGGCTTTCAAACACATACATTTTAGGCAATAAAAAGATAAGAATAAGAAGATCATTAAAAATTATTTGATAAAGTAATTTTATTTATTATTTATATCGCTTACTGCTTCAGTCTTTTTTCTGAGGTTTGACCTCTGCAGGGTCGCGGCGAGCTCGTTCTGCAACCTGGACACGACAGGACTGTTGGCCGCCTCGTCGCCGTTTCTACAGTCGCGATTTGGCTGTTGTGGCAAGAATTCCAATCTGGATGGCTGTTTTGTTTCACCCTCGTACGCTCCTATCCTGACAGCCACTTTGCTGCCAGTAACAGATTTCGAGACCTGTGCGCCGTTGGTCGGCGAAACCGATGTAAGCGATGTCTTGGCGAATTCCGCGACGGGACTCGTCGCAGCATCCTTGGGGACCTTGCTTCCGGTACCAATATGGCGTGGACTTCCGTTCAAGGCGGGGTTCGTCACCGGAAAGTATGTCGGCGGTGGCTTCGGCACTGTGTTAGGTGTCTCCTTCAGTTTGAACGATTCGATACTTTGCATCTCCACCAAGTCATCGTTGTTTCGATTTTTCGAAGGAAGCGGAAGTGGAGGTGCCGGAGGAGGCATTGCAGGACTCATCGTTGTCGTTGTCGTCGTCGTCGTTGTCATCGCTGTTGTTGCTGTCATCGTTGTCGAGGTCTCATTCAGCATCCTTTTTTCTTGTTCCTGAAAATATAACAAAATGCGATTTGTTATTAGAATAAATTTATGAGTCAAGCAAGTTGGAATTATATTTAAAAATTAATATTTGACAAAAATAAAATTCAAAATTAAAACTACAGATAATTTATTAACGTGAAAATTATAAATTAAGATATGTTGATATTTTAAAACAGAATTTGAAATTTAAAAAAATATTTTTAATATATATTGTTATGAGATTATTAAATATTACATTCGATGTAGTGATAAATTGATTTTGCCAAGATCTTAAATTAAAATAATTTATACATGTTTACTAACATTGTAAGGCGTGATTGTGACCAACGCTTGTTTTTTTCTCATTGTGTCTGTTATATTATTCGTCTTCGAGATTTTCTTATCCATATTCGTGAACTCTTCAACTATATTTTTAATTACATATAATACTATAGCTATATAAATAATTTAATATGTTATGTATTTCATTCTTCACGTTTTTTCCGTGAATTGTTTCGTAATTAATCGTCTACTTCCTTTTACTTTCGTGCTTATTTCTGACGTACGATCATTATACAATATTATCTTCTGCTAAACTGCATACGTAAAATATTACTGACGTAAAAATCTTTGATATATATATGTATATCCTGATAATATATATATTTTCAAATAATTTTATGTGTTGCAGTTTCAATTAAATTAAAAAGAAGAAACTTTTCCTTTAATTCTTTCGACTTTCCTAAGGCAGAAATGTGACAATAGAGAAGTCTCTTTCACGACGAGGTTCGTGCCTCGACGAACATCCTCCGTTTTTCGTTACGGCATTTTGCGCGCATGAGGCCTTATTTTCCTCTAATTACGATTGCACGGTGACCTCGCGTTTTGCGGTATTTCGCAGGCCGCCGATCGCACGACACGACGCGACGATGAGCTACTGACTGAGAAACACGCGGCGAGAGTAACGTGCGTTACGTTGAGATGCTCTTATGTAAGACCCCTATTATTTTGCACGTTTGCCGCAATTCGTAGGAAACTATCCAAGCGAAGGAAAAGAAAAAGAAAAATGTGGCACACACACGAGACTCGCGTCGCGTTGCATATCACGTTGCATATATCACTCTCTTAAGCATAACGAATGCATTTTGAAGTCGCAATCTCGCGGCTACCGATTGTAGCGAATAAATCTAAGTGCTTCGATAACGACGATTAATGGACGATAAGAGGCGGCGACAAGCCACTAATCAGTCCCCTGGCTTTTGTAAAACAGCAAGTCGTCACTTGACAGCAGAAATGAGGAGACAGTGATTTATCTCTGTGATAACGAGATCACTTTAAAAATGTACATTTTATCTAGATTTATCTCCAGCTTTCATTTTTCTCTCTTTTAAATGAGAAACGTATTTTCATTGTTCGCGAAATTTAATTTATAAATATAGAGTTCTGTTAATAATTCGAAGGCACTTCGAATAATTTTAATATCGTCTCTGAACAATTAATCATTAATTCCTGACTAATTTTATTATTATCTTATCAGCATTATTATCAATGATAACTTTCACAGACATATCGTATAAAATATATTAAAAGTAATACGATCCACGCACACACGTTTGAATAATTAATAGCTAATTTACTAATACGTCGCTTCCGCAATTAGTCTTTAATTCACTCTCGAGTATATATTCTCTCTGTCGCGCGGTTATACAAGAACTGAAACGAAACGTCGTATATACGTGACTTTAAAAATGCAAACTACTCGCTATCTCTCGTCGTTTCAACAATACAACCGAGCGTCACGACCAATGTGTGCCTAACACAGGTATACAACAGGTGAATGTGTCGGTGCGTCAGCATTACGCACACACACCACTATGTAATCTGCACGCCACACTGACGATGTTCCGGGATCTTCATAATTTCGTGTTCTTATCTGTTTGCACCAGTGTATCCTTGTATACGGTTGTGTAATTAAAAAGCGCGCTACATTCGAGCCTCCTGTTAGCTATGCTTCGAAAAATTCTTCAAAGAAAAAAAAACATTAATCCAAGACACAATTGCGATTTATTTTTTGGCGTCTTATTAGAGAAAATTAATTCTTCTCTGTTATATCATTTAATACAATCCGTTTTAATTGTTTTGTTAATTATAATTATTTTTTTTCTAAAAGTCATTGCGACCGGCATTACTTATGATTTTATGCATTTTAGTTTCTCTGTTTATCAAAATTCTTATATTAGCTTGATTCTTTGGAATTCATAATCTACATCGTTTCAACCGAATTTATTAATTTGATGAATTAAAAATTCTGTGCGTGTTAACGGTAAAACAAGAAATTTATCGATGTGCTGATCGTCTTTACAACGCATAACATGTTACTAATTGGTTTCAAAGATACGCTTATCACTGAAACAGTATACCAGACTGACGTCAGGTGGACTATTGTTATCGCATGAAAGTTAACACATATATTTCAGTTTCCGCGAAGCGAAATCGGCAAGTAAATTCACGAATTTTATTTTCAGAAAGTCTAATAAAAAATTATTCTTTATTTGCAATATATTTTAAAATTTTGACAGAATATTGGAGACATTTAACTCTCTCGCTCTGCTTCTCTCTTTTTCATATATTTTGAAATATAATTTATGTAATTTTAATAATAATATTCAGCTTATTTGCCAATTAGCTTTTCTTACCTTCTCAGGAACTTGATCCAAGGATTGCGCCTTTTGCTGAGCAGAGTTGAACATCTTTTGGTGTGCACGTTTAAATTCCTCCATCAGCTGCAAAACGAGTAAAGCGTTAATTTTATTGCAAAGCATTTTTAATGATGACTATCTGGTGAATGTAACCGGAATAAGTATGAATTCAAATATATTTATATATGCGCTGAATGAATTTACATGCAAATTTGTATTCTATTATTAATTCGCATAAGATCGCGTGGTTTTTCGTAATTTTTTGTAGATTTGCAAGTTGCAAAAAATATTTTTAATATTATACTTTTATCATATAAAATTTTAATTAAGAATTTGAGCAATTTTCGTAAATTATAGACATATTATAAAATTCCATAACAAAAATTAACTCTTGAATAATTAGACACTTATTATACACGTGCAAAATTATATGCAACTGACTTTATCGTGTGTCACTTTTTGTTCCTGCGACCTTAGAGATTCCACATTCTGAGGTTTGCGGATGTCCGTTTTTTCTTGTGACACTTCTGCTTTAGCGGCATTGTTCATCCTCTACAAAAAAAAAAAGAAAATAATAACATAATGCGTGACAATGACGAATGACCAACAATAAGCGAAATGCGAATAATCAATCACGAGATAAAGTACAAGTAATAAATATAATATGATGCTTTATAGAACATAATTTAAGTTCTAGACAGTTTTAACAACATATCTGACGTAGAAAATTAAAAAAAAATGTACAGTTGTTGAAAAAAATATAAAAATGGAAGATAATCTAAGTGTTGATTGGCAGCAAAAGATTAAACTTTTTATGGCATGTTATGTCAGTAAAGCGCTTTAAATCATTGATAATGTTAATATTTATTATCGCGATAACCATAAAAAGAAATGACATAAAAGATATGATATAGATAAGCAGATCGATCACAGATATCAATGTAAAACATCAAAGAACAGATTGAAAAATTATAAAGACATTCGAAAAGAGAAAGACATGGACCATCGTTAATATGACATATAATATGCGATAACACATACACACACACATAATAGAAATAAATTACAAGAACTTAATCTTCGATCAGACCTGACTTTAGATTTAATCAAAGTGACTTTTCGATTTCTTAATCGTCCACTTCTTCCTCCTATTAGAATTATAACCACTTGTGCTATGCAAATTTCGCGTCTTTTAATTTGCAATTTCGCGAGTTTTGTTCGCTTATTTCGGAATTAACATAGAATTAAAAAAAAGTATTAAAAATCTTTTTCCTTAACAACGTCGATCTATCTGCATACCTGCTGCGCTCGCCTCTGCAATTCTTGTGCGATGGCAGTGCTCAGATCAGTGCTGGCGATCGGCGACGTCCTGGCGACATCCTTGCGTGGCGTCGCGTATGCGGTCGTCGATGTCTCTGTAGTTTTGCTGATGACGCTGCTGGACCCACCGGTTGCCGATCCGTAAGAAACAGTTGATGCTGGTTCACAAGACGACGATGTCGATAGGGAGGACGATGTCGACGCGGAGTCTTTGCTGCAAGACGACTCGAGGCTCGATTCAGTTTCTGTCGAACCGGTACTGCCCATCGACATGGTACTGCCCATTTGCATGCCCATAGCGTTCATCGGTTTCGTCTCTGTAACGGTAAATAATATAATAACGGTGGTTGTCATGCACAAGACATTAGAAAAACATATTCCTCTTAAAATTAAAAATTAAATTTTTATGGTGTATATTAAATTAAATATATGCAGTTGCATTTATTAATAAAAAAATAAAATAAAAAATAGTTTAAAATAATGTTAGAGAAAATGGCAGAAATTTTTATATTTATTCATGTAAGGTAATAATTGCGTAGAGAGAAATATCTTTCAAGGTCTATATCTCTGAACGTATATAGGATTAATAGCGATGTTAGAGAATGCTCTTCAAGCTAGCAGTCGAGCGAATGCCGCGGCCAGTTATTATTCTAACGATGCTGCGAGAGAAGTCGTCAAACCTGCTGGCCATTTGTAAGGAAGCGGCGGCGGAGGTGCAGGTGGACAAACTGACTGATGCACCTCGACGGTCGTTATCGTCTTCCTCTCGGCCTCGCTCTGCCTCTGCAGGTCCGTCAATCGATTGCCGACCGCTTGGCCGTTCTCCTGGTGCAAAAATTATTCGCGATGCATTAGCAGAGTTCGCTTCGCATTTGAATCCACCGCATCAACCAATCGCGTTTTAACGAGCCAATATATAAGAAATGGCTCGTTGATAGAAAAATATTATAGATGCGCGGTGAACTTGACGGATGTGCAAATTTCCTTACTTTGGAGCCATGGTACATGGGCAAGTCGTCAGCTGGTCCGTCATAAATCACGTCCTGCTGTTGCCTCGCGTTATCTCGTCGATAGGCCAGCCGTCGATTCGCCTCGTCTCGCGGATTGGCATCGAAATCGTGCACCTCGTAGTCAATCCTGGGCGCGACCGGATCGTAAAGCGGCTCGTTGTCGATGTCGTCCTCGTAATTGCCGCGCGAGTTGAAGTGATACTGTCCACCCGGTATAGGCCGGTGATTCTGGTTCGAGCTCTGATTAACACGAATCACGGTCGTGTTATTTGGTTTTCGCGACCATTCCGGCGCCTAGAAAGCGGTCAATTTAGATTCCAATATAGGAAAAAACTCTTGCATGCCTTCTTGTCTTATATTTTAAACAATAAAATAAAGTTTGTACTTTCGAGCTCCGATGCGTGGAAAGTGGAATTTATAATTTACGCTCATTTTCTCCCAAATGAGCTGTTTGGGAGATGATTTTTATTGGAAGTCTACGTTGCATTGATTATGTATGTATGAGATATTTTAAGCGCCTTTACCTGGTCCACGTGTGCCCACTCCGAGGAGGAACTGCAGCTACTGGTCGACAATGCGAGAGGACAGCATATCCTAGAACGGCACCCGGAAATGTGAAGCGGGATTTATATGCAAGTACGTGTTCTCCGGGCTAGCGATTATGCAAGTTATGAGTCTGATTTCTAAAGAGCAGAATTCGCGGGAAGCGCATTTTTACATGAGACGTACCCCGGGGAATTGAACAAATGTTTACGTAGCGGCAAGGAATTTGAGCCGTGACCGACTCTACGTTATCGAGTGTCCTATTAATGGACCGACTTTCTCCCGATGTAAATTCATTGATGGCATCCGATAACGGTCGCGAGCAGCGAGAGAGATATGTAAATATCTATCTAGCTAGCGAAAGTATCATGGATAGTATCCAGATTCGCGCGAGGAAAAAAGATAAACAATAAATGCATCAAGTGATCAGAGAGAGTAACATTTCTGAAAAATCTATACATTTACATGCGTATTAATCGTTTTACTTGTTAAAAAAATTTCGAGATAATTACTCGAAGAGTAATTATTGCTTATTCTGTTTTTAACCCTTAGTCCCGCTCATGGGTTGTTTGCGTCTTTGCGTTATTTGGATCAGTAAAAACGCTTTAAAAAATCTGAAGAAATTCATGAAGCTTCTTGCAACCTTCAACTTGAAGTCCCAATCATAATATTTCGATAAAAATTATTTTTTTATATAGTTTGTTATTAAGAAATCAGATCGTCACAGCGAGCACAACAATCTCACCGCGGACGCAAACGACCCATGAGTCGGGACTAAGGGTTAAGATTGCGAACGTTATAAATCATTGCTCACCTGCCGTTTCGGTTGCAGGCGTCGTCGCGCGGATACCGCTGATGCCTGCAATCGTGATGATGATGCTGTGGCGAGGGCGGCGCATTATTTTGATGCTGAGACGGCGGACTCGCAGCCACAACGCTAGACGTCTCGGAGTCGTAGCCGCTGGAGCCGCGCGTCCACAGCGGCTCGGGGCAGTCGTAAAGATGATTGGGTACCGCGGGTCGTTGCACCACGAGGTCGAGGATCGCCGAACTGCGCATCACCTCGATGGCCCGCTCGAATGGCAGATCGGTGAGCCGTTGCCCGTTGCACCAGATTATTACGTCGCCCGCCTTCAGACCTGCAGCTCGCGCAGGTCCACCTTCTCTCGTGCCCTAAATATTTTTTTTTGTGTTTTTAGATAAATTTAATTTTTTCCCGAGCAGATTTAGCTTCGAAACGTCAATTCCGAATATAGATTTGGATACAAATCTTGTTTCAATTAGTTGGGTAATTTTACGTTATTCTATTTTAATCTCAATATTAATTAAACAAGGGACACAATATTACATATATATATGATTATTTCAATTTAAAATAAAAGAATGTTTTTTTAGAACCTTGATTTTTTAAATCGAAGGAAAATAAATTTGCAGTGATAAAGCAAAAGTCTCGAGAATGCCAGTTGCTTCCATGTGACATAATTGCGTTAAATTAGGATGTTATTAACCTGGACAGTGAGACCAGGTACAATGCCCCTGCAGACACCGCAACCTAGACGACCCTTCTCGCCGACGAGAATCCGAATCCTGACTTCTGTGTTCGGCACGTTACCTAAACCCGTTTCGTTGTATTGCAGTTGTTGCTGTTGTTGCTGTACCATGTGCCAGGTAACCGGATCGTTCGGATTGCTTTACGAATAATAAATGATTTTTGTAACGAGAGGATGAGTCGATCGAGTAAGACACGTACAGTTCGTGCAGTTTTAATTAAGTATTGATACTTACTCCTTTACAGGTATCATCCCCACGCCTGCAATATAAATCGAGAGCTATAAATTCTCGCGTTATCAGCAACGAGATAGAGATTATTTCGCGAAGGCCGCGCGCGCGTATTACTATATTATTAATTATTTTTTTCTCGAATCACGAAGAGTTAATCTCTCTACGAAGAATAGATTTACGTTCGTAAGTAAGCAATATTGTATCTCGCGATATAGATAATAGATTAAGATAGAGACGAGATAATTACTTCGAATTTTGAGGACCAAGACTTGCTGATTTTTTGCCAGAAGCGCGACTTCCTGATGAACAGCATCCTCCACCGGGTAACCGTTCACCCTTAAAATCTGATCTCCTACCTGAAAGTGACAATTAAAATATTAAACCATTTCATTTTTTAAACAAAATATCAATATTAATTAATGTTAGCCGCATATAATTATCATTAAATTTATTCTTGACTAACAATAAGTATTGTATCGAAAAAACTCACAGATAAAGAAAGGGATGTTAAAAAAAATCTAAATAATTGTGTTTTGGATAATAGCAAATGTATATATATATAATATGAAAATATATAATTATGAAAGACAATATATATATAATTATATAATGGACAATATATATAATGATGAAAGTGCTGAATACCCTTAATCCATTTCTGTGAGCCTCGCCTCCTGGTTGGACATCGCTGACGTAAAATCCGGCGGCGTATTCGCGTCCACCCCGTAAGGAGAATCCGAAGCCGGCGTTACCGCGACGTCTCAAACGTACGTTCCTAGTCACGCCGATGACGGCCATCCTGCCGCCTCCTGCCGGGTTCCCAGGACCTCCACCGGTCGATGATCCCGTGCCAGCGTTTGACGCGCTGGAGGAGCCACCCGACCTGCAGTGCCGTAAAAAGGACACGTATATATAAATAACGTCATTCCGTACTCCGAAGCTGAGCAAGCTCAACGTGAATTTTTATCTCCTTCAAGATCCTTTAATTAAATTCAAAACACCCGAGAGAAATTTCAAAGCTATATAAATTAAATAATATAATCCCCTCTTTCATTTCAACTCGCGACATATTTTTCAGAGATGTTCGGGTATTTTTTGTTCCATGAATTTTGTATGAAATATTTTATTCAAATCTATGTCTTGTCTCTTCTCCAGGGCTACATTTTCTCGTCGACGCGGCTATATCTGTCCGTGTCGCTGTGACACCGTCGCAGTCTTATTTTATCCTCCGCGAGTAATTGTCTCGCAAAGATCCTCATTTTCTCCCCGTCGCTTCGACGGGCGAATGAGCGAGCGAGCGAGCGACTCGGTACCTTTGTTCGGCGTACTCCGCCGACCTTTTTCCACCGCGCTGTAAAATTAATGACCACACCTGGCGCAACCGGCACTAGGAAGGAAGGCGAGAGGAAGCGAAGATAGTAGCAATCGGAGAACCTCTCGACGAGGTGGAGAGAGAGAGAGATCTCGCGTAGGAATTCCGCAGTCTCTCGAAGAGAAAAGAGGAAGACCGAGAATGACTCGAGGAGAGGTGAAGCTGGAACCAGGGACACTTGGTTAATGATGCCGCGAATCCATCTTCCCTTGGACATTGAAAAGACCGTTGTTGTGTACAACACGGTGCGGCAAAGTGTAGGACACGGAGATGACACCCGGGTAAATGACAGTCATTAGCAGGAGTGAGAATATGCTCCAGAATGACTTTGCCCGGGCCGTAAAAGCCTTGCGAAGGGTTTTCCCTCCTTGACACCCTATATACCTGTGTCGCACCGAGAATACTTGAAGAATGAAACTTTACTTTGCATTACGCGTCTCCTGAATTTTTCGTGAACTTAGAATGTGAACCCGTGAGAATTCTCGAGGAAATCGGGCAGATTACGTTCGGTCGTGGGATACTAACTATTTTATTCCGCGCGGCCACTGACATCAAGTATTCTCGGAATGCGCATATTCAGTAATTACATAATAATAGCGTGGGATAACGCGATTATTTTAGCGCTTCTTAATCGCGTCTCTTTTTATGTAATGGGATTTGGGCGCCGCTCCTCGACGACGAAGACGACGGAACAGCTGCGCGCTGTCAAATTGCCGCGTCGTGGATCGCCGGAAGAATCTATTATGCAATCGCCCGCGAGAAAGAGAAAAGGGAGGAGGACAATGGATGCACGTGGTGGCATTTCCGCGACAACGAACTCGTCCATACGGAAAGACGTACCGTTACGATCGTCGATATCGCTGTTTGACGATCGAGTCCCAAAAGTGTTACGACTACAAGGCAAACGTCTCTCGCATACACCTTTTCTCCAGATCTGCTCGGGTGACCCACCCGTGTCACGACCGATCGCGATCGTACTACGTCACATTCACGTATTAATGCGGCACTCGATGTTCCGTTCACGAATTATGTTAATTCCTCGTCGCTCCCAAGACTACGACGTCGATGTGTGAAACAGTTAACGGGAGGAATTTCAACGATAAAATAGGATGGGACGAAGAAATCAGTTCGATACATTTTTGGTACGTAAATCTATTTAATTTATTGTTAATAAAAAAGATCGATCGAGGTTGTTGAATATTTCCTCAGTATTGTTCCTGCTCAGTTGAAAAATTTGTGTTAAAAATTTAATAAATATACGTCCCCGGTCCACAGAATTTTTGTGTTTTAATATAATAAGGATATGTTAAATAGTGACACGAATACTGTGTTAATATTTGAACATAAAATAAATGCAAATTTCAAGTAAACTTGAAATTAATTTTATGTAAGATTAACATAGTTTTAATGTAAAACTTAACTAAAAAAATGGTAATTTTACATTTTATCGTCCCCACTTATAAAATAAAAGCAACATTATTTTCTGTAAATTTTAACAGATAAATCTTGTCACTAATAATATATGGAACATATTTATTGTGTAAAATTAAAAATAGGTGCATATTGTATTATTTTCACTTTTTTCTCAGTTGTTTTAATAATTTAACATATGAATATATTAAATATTTAACACAAATAACGGAGACCATTTTTAACAAAAAAAAAACACAAATTTTCCAACTGTGATGGATATAAATTACGATGTGCTCCAAGTAGCATGATTGAATTTGATATTCGAATTCTGATCATGCACATGTAAACGCAATAATAACAGGACACGTGTGAATCGTCGAATTATGGATTCCATCCGCGTCTTATGTTAATCATATCGCGACGAGTTCAGATCGACTCGAGAAAGCCAGCAATGAGCATATCCGAGAAATGCATTTTGCATGATAATATGAATGTGAGAAATGCTTTTTCTTATATGCTACGAAATAATATTACATTATTAAGCTATTCTCTTATATACCGTGTTATCTCATAATTACTCTACTTTCTTCATCTCTCACCTAAGATTGTGCGCAATATTTTAATTATTATTATTATTTATGCATATGCATTATGGTAATAGCATAAGTCACGAAAGATGTAAGGAACGTCCAGCTCGCCGACAATGCGGAGAAAGTTGATGTAAGCTTGCAAAGAACACGAAAAGGCACGCCCTAACGAATGTTCTCGTCCTTTCGACTCTCATGACTGTTCCTCTGATTCGTGGCTTGTTGTATTGCAAATGAGAGGTCTTTAACATTTTTATTTTCTCTCTCTCTCTCCAAAAAAAAGTAATTAGAAGGAAATAAAATTTTATTTCTTCCGGCCTCTTTGATTCTTATTCACATTTAATGAGTTCTCTTACAGACTCAAAAAAATCTCTATATATCATATTTTAATAAGCTTTTAATTTAATTAAATATGCATTTTTTACCAGGGGTCTACGCACTCCAATAGATGTACAAATTTGAGTAAGTAAAAAAATAATAGTAGACAGTAGATAGAAAAAACAATAGTAGTCAATAGATAGAAATAAAATTAATAGTGTTTAATGTAAAAATGTGGAATTTATTATTATTTATTACCGTTTTAGCAATAGGTATACACTTGTTTAAAGTGTGGTATAGACTCCTTGATTTTTTAATTTATTTTATTAATACACAAACACATATTTTAAAAAATGGAAAATTTAATAATTATAAAATTTGACAAAGGTAATAAGATTCTCACGGAAAACTTTAGAAAAACAGTTTAATAATCATCGAGAAGTTTAAGAAATCGTTACATTGTATTATTCGTAGCAACCTTTTTACGGGTTAACCTCAGGAATGCTAGAATGAGATATAGTGTTGCCGCGAGTCTCATAGCTTCTAACTTTAGAACTGGTAGCAAGCAGTCGAACCAGAAGTTGACAAATTGTTGCCAGACGCGTTTAAGGTACCGCTGGCGATTCGCCTCTCGGTCTCCCGCAACCATATACCAGTATTCTCTTATGGTTAATCTCTCCACGAACAGATTATTACTTACATCTATAACGCGGCGAGATGTATTGATTTTTATGTAACAAAATTGATAATAAGCCATTCAAGAATGTCACGGTAATTTCTCTTTAAAACTCGTTGCTTTTCAAAAGAAGAATCCTCTTCGACCAGTTTTATGAATGAAAAGACCAGTCTTCAAACGAGTTTGCATTGCGCAATATGACAAATATAACAGTCAAAAAATATCCTACATTCTCCTCGGATCTTCATTAAACCTGCCCCAAATTAAAAAAAAAAACACCGGCGTAATAAAAATAAAGATATTATATATATACAGAGAAAATTTTCTCTTAGAATTTACTTTGAAAATCATAGTAATTTTACTATGTACATAGTAAAATTAATCAAACATATTTTATATTTTATTATGCGGTAAATATTAATCAGAGAAACTTTTATAAAATTCTTCCAATATTGTCCCATGATTTTCAGGGTAAATTCTAAGAGAAAATTCTCTTTGTGTAGAAATATTTTGTATAGAAAGTATTTTTCAAATGTAAAAGGATATTAATTTGTCATTATTTTCTCGAATCTCATTGCATATATATATGGTTCTATTTCATATATTTCCAAGTTTTCGAATATTATTATTACTCTAATTCTCTTTTAGAACTGTTCCAGTTGGCTCACAGATTATTATGATAGCCACGCTTCGATGCTTTGCAACTGGAGCAACTATAGACGTGATTGGAAGCGGAACACATGTTACGTACAAGTTATATGTTACAACAAATTATATGTTCAAATATTATTTCTTTTCTCTATCATCTGAGTCGCAGATTTGTTCCAGTTTCATGATATCGATTTTACGAAATTTATACACGTCATTCATCTACTATTAGCTCCTCGAACGCGGCGAAACACGTATAGTATACTATATCGTACGACCATTGTGCACTTCATGATAATGCAAATTTCGCTCGTTACAATGGCAGTATCGATTCGTTGCATCGCCATTTTATGAAGTAAAATTCATTTTCGTCACGGCCGAATTGCCGGCTTAACTGTGCATGGCCGGCGTCTGGAACGGCGTAAAGTCGCCCAGGGTAAGAAAAGAGATACGGAAGAAATCGGGCGTGTTTCGCGTTTCTTCCCTTCACGCGCGACCGGACACGTTCCATTCGATCCGGAGAATCCGCGTCTTTGATAGATCGATTTACTTGCGCGCTCTGGTCGTTGATCCGCACGAGGGTTTTGCGGTTTTGCGATCATCGACCCCCAAGGGTCACGGATTCGTATGTCACACACACGCGATCGTAGAAACGGGAAAGGAAAAAAAAATAACAACCCTTTAGCCATGATTAATGATCGATTGAGCGAAACTCAATCATGGATAAAGTCAGAGTGAATGTTCGATAATTAAATGTGCACATTTCTCGATAGTCTTCAATTCTCTTTCGATGCGTTATTATTTCTGTTAAAAATGACGAGCACATCTACGCGTATATCGAAGATATTTTCTTAAGATGGGATTAGAAA